CTTTGACCCCTGACCATGTGACCCACTCGCCCAATCTCACTAGGCCTCGTTCCACCTTCCTCTCCTTTCTTACGTTGTCTTCTTCCTTTTCCATCCTTACCCCTCTCTATTATTGACGTCTCCTCTTTTTTTCTTTGACACCTTCTGTGAACGTCTGAGTGGGTGTGTAGCTTCTGAGGAGAGGATTCTGGGTATTTTTGGATGCTGTTGAGTGTTGCGAGCCGTAGAATGCGCATGACGTACGTGCGTGAATTTCTGCCCGTTTCAGAATGAGGTCTAGTGAAAGCATTTGTCCTCTAATCCCTCTCTTCCATCCCCTGGGGAAACCCCCCCACCCCACGACACCGCTTTCCCCCCCGCCCCTCGGCCTCATGCTCCAGGAGGAGCTGGTGCTCGCTGCTCTGAGGATAGAGGCCCTGCAGGTAGCCCAAAAAATCTCCCAGACCACCCTGCCCACTGTAACCACGGAGGTACTGCACTGAGCTGGTCTTGCACATAGACCAGGCCGCGTTTGTGAGTGTGAGCACGTGTGCGTGCATGCACGCGTGTGTGCCTACAGATCAGCCAGCCTCACCTCTCGTACTAAACCTCCTCACCCTGCCATTGGCGCCCACTGACGCCTATAGCTTGACCCAACGCACAGGCGCGTAGGAATGTTCACAGTACGTTGCTCTCCATGTAACCTTTCTAACCTGCCTTGTTCGCAGTTGGCCTCAGCTGACATGGGTTTCACGCGGATATTATCAGAAGAGAAACCTACAGCCTTCATTTTAAGCAACCTGCATGTTATTCCTCCCCCCCCCTCAAAAAAGCAGAAAGACTTGCAGTATCCATGTTTGGGCTAACAAGAATTTATATATCTGAGCTTTAGATGACACAGTATACTTACTGTGAGAATTCTTACTGTGAGATTTTGTTTCTGTGAATACCCATGACACATTTGTCCTGCAGCTTGCTTTTAAATAAAACAAGTTGCGCTTGTATTTTCTTAACTGGCAACTGGCCTTTAAAAATATGTCAAAGTTTAGTCCCAGGGTGCATGTTCATAAGCAGTGCTAATTGCAAAAAACAAAGGATAAAATGTTCATAGAAAGCATTTTCACTATGATTTTTCCTTCCCTAATGAACTACGTCATACTTTTTTTTTTTTTCACGCTGCCACATTTAGAATCAAACATTCCGGGTTATTAAAGCGATCCGGCCTGATGAAGATCGGCGAGGCTAATTTCAGCAGCTGGCAGTAAATGCTTGACAGAACCTTACTGGCTATAGAATAGAAGTTCCAGTTGTGAGTTTACTTGTCCTCTTTCTGAGGGAACAGATGTTTGGAAGCCTCGCGGGGGCACATTAAACTTTTTAATCCCTCTCGGGGCTGCCAACATGGGACTAAATATAAAACCCTGCACACCATAGCTAAACTCCCAAGGAGAGTTTATAAAGGAAGTCTATTTTTGAAATTGTGTAATCTAGGACTCTGTGTGTGCGTGTGTGTGTGTGTGTGTGTGAGAGAGAGAGAGAGGCGCTTTGGGAGGGCAGGTCCTGCCACCCTGGATTACCGCTGCAGACTGACAGGAGTAATCTTCACGTTCATGTAGACACACACACACACACACACACACACACACACACAGTGATAATGAAATTCTCAACACTGAACAGAATAGATAATAATTGTTAGTGGTATCATCTATGCCCGTTAACAGGGCATTAGTGAGAAAGACATGAACGTTTGTTGTTTAAGCGTTTAACACCAGTTTTGATGGGGTGGCTTTGCTGTGATTTTTGGGCCAGTTTACACATAGTTCCCATGGTGTCGTCAGTAAAAGCAGAATGATGATGGTCTTTAATCGGAGTCTTGTGCCTCTGTACGAGGGCCTAGTTTTGGGCTGAACATTGGGGAGCCGAGTTTCCACCCATTTTGTGTTTATTTGGGGGGTTGTTTTGGTTGGTTTTGATTATTTGGGAGGGTTACAATCCTCCTCCCTCCCATAATTTATATCCATGCTACTGTACTGCAGACTGAATTCTGGGAGCTGACAAAATGCAGCGCACGCTTCTGTCCTGCAAATCCAAGTCGCTGCTCCTGTGCGAAACACTGGAAGATCATTAATCAATTGCATGATAGATTAGGAGCCTAAATTATGAGGACTGATCCTTAAGGAAACCTTTGTCTATTCATCCCGCCCATCGCCCTTCCTTTCCTTTGCCTCAGTCACACCTAAAGAAGCCCAGCCACCGCAGATGGGATCTCGCTGGGTCACCCATGGCCAAAGTAAGACTGCAGAGAGCCCCATGTTCCACCCAACCCCGGTGCTGCACCTTTAACATAGAATAGTGTTTCTCAATCTGGTCCTTGGGGACCCCAGACGGGTGATGATGTTCTCGCTCTTTAGATCTCGGCTGTTGCTCTCTGGGTTCCCGGTCTGGGGAAAAGCACCGTTATTTGTAGGCTATCCAACACAACCTCTCCTCCGGTAGCTCAGAAACAGGCAGTGTAGTGTATCCCAACAGAGCTTGCAGAAATCCCAGCGGATGCACCACCACCACGTGAATTCCCACAGTAGAGTAAGATCTTGTAAATCCAAGCTTGTCAAAGCAGGATAACTTCTATCTCCACCAACTGTCCTTCTGCTATGTTCCTGTCTTGCCCGTATTAATTTCTCACTGTCAGTCATTGTTTGAACTATCATTTTATTCACATCTGTCTCTTTTGTTGCGTCTTCTTTTCCCCCCAGAGCATCTACAGACAAACAATCCATGTAAGAGGAGTCTCAGAGACTAAAGGTGCAAGTGTAGGCTGTATGTTGAAATACTGTGGCGTTCACAGCCAACGCTCAATGTTTCTTGATACACTTTTGTTTGCCTTCTACATACAGATACTGGGCTTTAATTAAGGGCATAATTCAGGGCGAAATTCAACATTCTCAGGTCTCTAAAGTCTGACATCAACAGTTAGATATGTATTAGCATAAGAGTGATATAATGAGGAGTCATGTTGATTTAATTGGTTTACAGCCCACATGACTGTCTCCATTGCTTGGGCTCTGTAGCTCTGGCACTCTAAAGTCTGCTGCTACAAGATGCTGGATCAGGCCATCGCTAAGTATCAGTAATGAAAAAGTTGTCTCAAAGTGAAGGACACTCAAAACTTAGACATTTCATTGAAATGTGCTGATTATGGAGATATCTTTAACCTCCGCTGCGGTAGCCTGTAGACGTTCATGGAGGGCGACAATTTCCAGAACGGATTTCTGGTGAGCCGTATTTTTTCACACATTTGAAGTCATCGGGCTGAACTCCTCAGCTCACATTTGAAAGATATGGTTGCCGCTGCTGCTGACTGAGGCGGCTCTCCTCTGACAGTTAAAATGACGGTTTAAAAATTACAGCAATTTAGCACAACTGCCTCATTTATGATTGATTAATTTATAGTATTCTTTATCTCCAAGCATCTTGGGAGCCCCTTAAGTGCTGTCAGGGATCTGGAAAAAAGGTCCTGGAGGGCTATCATGCAGATTTTCCTGTCCCAATTAAACCTGTTCAGCTGTCAGGGCTTATTTCTCTGAAAAAAGATCTCTGGCTTGCTGTTTCGGGAACAGCTGTGCATTCCTGGATACCAGCTTTGAGGTGCACTTCCTGGTGTCAAATCAGCGCTGTGTGTGTTAGCCAAACCAATTAGCTTGATTAGCTTAGTCTAAGAGAACCGGAAGGAAAAGTGGGAGTATAATATTAATAATATTGATGCTTTAGGTTTTTATTATTATTATTTTAAATATGTCACTGGCTAAGCTTTAATCCATTTTGCTTTCAATCTGGGCTAAGGTAGGAGGCCATTGTGAGAAGGTCAACTGTGACCTGGTCTACATAGCAACATGCTGACCTTTTCTGTAATGCAGCCCGTCACAGCTCCCCCAGCCCCCGCCCCCACCCCCCACCTCTGTTCCTGCAGATGCAGCCCCTATCCACATATAACCATAGATCCCAGTCTTCCATCACCTTTTCAGCCTGGACCCAATCACAACCATGCCACACTGTGACAATCATCCAATCAATCTCAAGGTCATTACTTTGTTGTCGGCATTTTCAGCCAATCAAAGGACCTGTACCATGTTGCTACAAAGCCAATGGATGCAAAAGATGACAATGACACGGATATTAGTTATTCTTCCTCTGAACCAGCTTGCCGTGGCTCTGTACCGAGTTTGCCGTCTGGGCTGCTGAGGCTGTGTCGCTTTGTGGTTCGGTTCAGGTTTCCCTTGCGGCGTGTTTTGGGCGTGCCCATGTGTGAGTTTGTGTATACTGGGTACGCAGAGCCTGACCAGTTTGCTCCACGCTGTCTCAGCACCAGAGGGAGGCTTCATCCCCAGTGGAAAGCGCTGTCACAAAGAGCACCCTGTATTCCCGGACTGGGTACAGCGAAGAGGATGAGAACCCGTACATGCCCCGGGACCTTGACCACTCCCTGGGTATCGCACGTGAGGAGGTATGCCAATGCATGACAAATAAATTATGTGGCCCCCTAGTGGTCCCTCTGAAAAAGTGCAAGATGGCATCTTATGTTGTACTGAGAGGAACCATTTCTCCCCAGATTGTTGCCAAGGAGAAGGAGGCGGCTGAGTGGCAGAGGAAGTACGAGGAGAGCAGACAGGAAGTTGTGGAAATGAGGCGAGTTTCTGCTTTCAATCGAGGTGGCTTTGTCAACCACCCCAATTGTCTCATTACTACTGATACGACTTTCGTGCAGACATCTGTAAGCAGACACGGAGAAGGTGTCTGCATTCAAACACCACTTAGGCGGGAAGCCAAGGCCAAAAAGCTGAGCCAATAAAAAGAAAAAGCCACTTTGAATAAGAGCCACCAACGCCAGAGGAGATTTGGCAGCAAGGGGTTGTGCCAGTTAGCGCAAATCATTCATGAAGGGGATTCTGGGATGTGACAGGGCCTTAGCTCTGTATAAAAGATGAGTCACTGCCATTGCAGACAGTGTGCATCATTTATATTCCTGCAATATTTTCAACAGCATATAGTCACAATGATGTTGTGAGAAAGTCTGGAGATAGTTATGGTTTGTACGATGAGTTACAGGTTAATTCAAAGCATCTAGGCTTCATGTTCGCCTTGAGAGGTGGGGGTAACGCTGCGACCGAGTATAGCGATAATAAGTTCCCAAAGGCCCTCTAATGGATAGAGATTAAAACAAGAGATTCGGAGAGGAACTTCAGCCATCTTCTGTCATCCCCAGCGCTGGCTTACTGTGAAGCAGTTCAGACACATATAGCTGATAGGAAGCCAACAATTCAC